AGAAATTGCACAGTGCAAAGAAAAATTTTGTTTTCGCACAGTGCGGTCACCAATTTCCGTCCGGCGACTTTCTGAAAGGGCTAGTGACCGAAATTCAAAAAAAAAAAGAAAAAAAATTAAAAACGAAAAATCTGGGAGAAGAGGTTTGATGGGATTTTGAAAGAGGACTTTGATGATATAATGGAACGGGAGGGCTTATATGTGATTGTGAGAGAGTTAGGGTCATCGTGGGTTACTGTAATCTCCGAAATTTTAGGAGTATTTACAGGGGAAGTACTCCAAGTGCGACGCTCAGATTTTGATGAAACTTGGCACAAATTTAGAATAATTTTTATCTAAGATATATGCCGGAATCCTAGCTCGCACTTTGCAGAAACAACCGAGATTTTTAGATCGAAAGTCGGCCAAAATTCAGGACTTTTTGCCGAATTTCGGCACGGAAAGTTTCATGCCAATTTCTACCGTAAAGGATAATGTTTCTACAAAAAATCAAATTTTTCCACACGAAACTGCCAAAGTTATGGCCAAAAAGCGTTTTTCTCTCTGACCGCTCTCCACGTTTAGCGTGCTCTCTCGGCGGCAAAAATCGTTCGATATCTTGGCGGCGCCCGCAAAGCGCGAGCTAAAACTTTCAGGAATTGATATTTAGTCCATACCCGACGTGTGTGCAAAATTTAACGAAAATCTGAGCGTCGCACTTGGAGTACATCCCCTGTTAGTTTTGGAATAAAAATATCGAAAGTACCCTAAGTGAGAAATATAAAAAATCGAAGACGTTGACTTTTTTTCCTGAAATTTGGCACAGCGGTAGCGCAAAGACTTCTAAGACTTTTGGCTTTTCAAAATTCCAAAAATCTGCCCTCAGGGCATTTTTATGCACGGTGCAAAGTCCACTTTTTTTCCATATTTTGCCCCGTAGCTCGGAAACTTGCAACAAAAGTGTCCGATGTTTTTGCGGATTGTTCATGTACTCAGTGAGGCGGAAATTTCGTATTTTTTCGTTTTTGCCCTAAGGGTCGTAACTTGATCCCGCCACTTTTTCCCACATGTGATACCTCTTTCCGCATCTACGCAAAATTCTAAGACCAACGGTACCATTTTCTAAGCTCTACGACCGACCGGTCGAAAGTTACAGTCGATTTTCGGGATTTTTTGGATTTTTCCAGATTTCACCATCAAGATGACGGAATTTCTGGATTTTGACAACGGATTCTGAATCGGCATGCCTGACTTACCCTAGAACCACCTTTAGTATCTTCCTGTCGTATTTCGTATTTTAGCCATTCGAGATTTTTCGAAATTTCCCAAAATAGGCCTAATTTTCCGGAATTTTTTCCGGGAAGACTACGTCGAAATTCAAAAATCGGGCTTCACCAGGGCCTCAGGAATTGCTCAAACTATCTACACAATTTTTTTCGGATTCTGAATTCGACGTTCACGTCCGGCGTTTTAACTGGCGCAGAATCGACTAAAACTCGATTTTCGCAAAATCGACCAAAACTTCATGTTATCGACCGAATTTCGGGATTCTGCTGATGGCATTCGATTCAGCATGTGTAAATTGACCTAGGAACGTGTGTCACTCGCTTCGGTAGCGTTTCGTATTTTACATGCTCCAAATTTTCGGCCGAGGTCAGATCTCATGTACAATATTCAAATTTTTTTTTCTCGGGACTGAAGTCGAAATTCAAAAATCGGGCTTTACATGGTTCTTAGGAATAGACTGTAGTATGTTCTCCATTATTTTCAGATTCTGGGATCGTCGTTGAATCCCGAGGTCTTCCGCGAACGGTCGATTTTCCGGATTTTTTGACTAAATCGGCCCTCAGGGCACGGACTTCAAATTTTTCGGATTTCTGTGTGTGCCATCGTATTCAGCATGGTCGACTTGACCTAGAAGCGTGTATCACACGCCGCAGTAGCGTTTCGTATTTTAGAGATTCCAAATTTTCTTCCGACGTCAGATGTCAAGTGTAATATTCAAATTTTTTTTCTCGGAAACTAGGTCGAAATTCAAAAATCGGGCGTCACAAATGTCTCAGGAATTACTCAGGCTATCTACTCCATTTTTTTCGGCTTCTGAATTCGACGTTCACGTCCGGCGTTTGAATTTGGAGCAAAATCGACCAAAACTCGATTTTTGCAGAATCGACCAAAACTTCACGTTAATGGCGGAATTTCGGGATTTTGATGGCGGGGGTGGATTCAGCATGTCCGCTTTGACCTAGAACCACCTCAACCTCGGCTACATTGCCCTTCTTACTTCAGACGTCAAAAAATTTTTTCAGGGCCAGGTGTCAAGTGTAATATAAATTCCTCTTTCGCGTAATCGGGGACCAAATTCAAAAAAGGGCTTCGATGTGCCTTTGTATTTGCCTGGGATAGCTCCATGACCATTTTCAGCTCCTGACATCATCCCGTTGACGTTGCACCGTTGGCAAAAGGTCGATTTTTGGCATTTTTCGCATAAATTCGGCCCTCAGGGCACGTAATGTTCGAAATTCAAAATTCGGCTCGGGTCAATTTTTGACTAATTCGGTAAGCTTCCATCGTGCCAAATTTCAGCCCAATCGGTTTCGAACTGAGTGACCAACGGCCGGTTTTCGTCCAATAGCGATACAGAGAGATTTAATAAAATTTATCGCGAGCTGGCGAGGCCGAAGGCCGAGCCAGCTCGCATGCTGCTCCGGGAGGCTCCAGCCGAAGGCTGGAGCCGACCGGAGCCCTACTTGCACAGCGAAAAAGACTATTTTTATAAAAATTTATTGCGAGCTGGCGAGGCCGAAGGCCGAGCCAGCTCGCATGCTGCTCCGGGAGGCTCCAGCCGAAGGCTGGAGCCGACCGGAGCCCTACTTGCACAGCGAAAAGGACTATTTTTATAAAAATTTATTGCGAGCTGGCGAGGCCGAAGGCCGAGCCAGCTCGCTTGCTGCTCCGGGAGGCTCCAGCCGAAGGCTGGAGCCGACCGGAGCCCTACTTACATCAGCGAAATTAAAATTTTTTTAAAATTGTCATGTGTAATATAATTTTGTTTTGGCTGTATCTTCTTTTACATTGCAGAAAAATCGGCACAACTTGGCTGTAAAATCCTCAAATCATATCTATTTTTTAAACTTCTGTTTTGTTTATCCTTTCTCTTCTATTTTAAGAAACGATTTCTCGAATTTTATCATGTACAATATAAACTACTTTTTTGTTTCTACTTGACTCAAATTGACCATAAGTAGAAGAGAATTGGCTATAGACGCCACAAATTAAACGGATTTCATTATTCTCTATTTGATTCCGGTCTTTGCCGTAAAACGAATCGGTCGAATGACGCTGCAGCCTGCGTTTATTCGGAGAGCTGCGCCCGATATTTTCTGAAGAATTTTTTTGAAGCCAGAGTGTCGTTTTTTTCGGTACCTTCATATTCGTAGTCCTTATTTTTTTACATTATACATGCAGGACAGTTTGCTCATTTTTTTCCGGTATTTTTTCTTCTTTGTTTCAACATTTTTCGAAAATTTGTTTTTGCGGGATGGAGAATATTATTTTGGTACAAATTTTAGAATTTTTTGCCTCTAAACGGTTCATTTAGCTGAATTATTTTATTTTCAACCTTTTTTCTCACACCTTTTGTAGATTTTCATGATTTTTTTTTACTTTTTCTTACAAAATTTGGCTGTTCATGAATTGTTTCGTTTATGTGTAAATTTTGAGATTTTTCTCAAAATCCTTCGGGTATTTCCTTTCAGAAAGCTTTGTTCAGCTCAACTTGGTGTTTTCGAATCGTTTTCCCATCGCTTTTTTGCTATTCTTGCCGTTTTATTGGATTTTTTTTCGAAAATTTTGGCCTCCTCATGGATAACATAGTTTTATCTCAAAATTTGGGAAAATTTTGGAATTTTGCTCAAACAAGTTGGGGTATTCACCTTCTCAAAGCTTCCTTGAGCTGAATTATGCGATTTAGAACCTTTTTTCTCACACCTTTTGTAGATTTTCATGATTTTTTTTTACTTTTTCTTATAAAATTTGGCTATTCATGAATCGTTTCGTTTTATATGTATATTTTGAGATTTTTCTCAAAATCCTTCGGGTATTTCCTTTCAGAAAGCTTCGATAAGCTCAGCTACGTGTTTTTGAATCGATTTCCTGTCGCCTTTTTCATATTTTTACCTTTTTTTTGGATTTTTTTTCGAAAATTTTGACCTTTTCATGGATAACATATTTTTATCTCAAAATCTGCGGATTTTGCTCAAAAAAGTTGCTGTATTCACCTTCTCAAAGCTTATTTTAGCTGAGATATGTGTTCTAAGAGTTTTATCGTAGATCTTTCATTTGATTTTCGTAATTTTTAGAATTTTTTGAAAAAATTTTTGCTTCCTCATGGATAATATAATTTTAAGTTGAAAATTGGGGCATTCTGCACGAAAAAGTTTTCTAGACGACCAATTATATAATCCATGACAAGTATTCCTTTGTTTTAGGCATGTTCGAGGTAATTTTTAACATTTTTTTAATGTGTTACCTAATTTTAGGTATAATATAGAACATTAGGTTGAAACTCGGGAGTTTTGCGCTGAAAACATTCAAGCAGTCTAATTATATTTGTCTATTCTCTTCTCCCTTCTATTTCCACGCTTTTTATATATTTTTTTGTTTACAATTAGGACCTTATTTCATAGATAAGGTAAAATTTAGATCAGAATCTATGTTTTTTTGTTCTAAAAAGGCTCAAGGGGCGAATTGTATGTTATCCATGACATTTTTATTCGTTTTGGCGTTCTTTTTACTCGGGAATTGGTATTTGATGTCCGATTTTTTCGAATTTCGTGCTATTTATTCGCGTTTTTTATATTTCGTGTTCATTTTAGTATTTTGTTACTAATTCTTTTTGTTTCAGATTTCAACTCGAGCAATGCGTGCGATGGATGTGGATGGATGCGATGGCAATGAATGTGGAGTGTGTGGATTTTTTGTGGGCTTTCCTTCCCGGCTTCGGCTGGGACATGGAAGGCTCACGGGCTTTCCTTCCCGGCTTCGGCTGGGACATGGAAGGCCCACGGGCTTTCCTTCCCAGCTGCGGCTGGGACATGGAAGGCCCACGGGCTTTCCTTCCCAGCTGCGGCTGGGACATGGAAGGCCCACGGGCTTTCCTTCCCAGCTGCGGCTGGGACATGGAAGGCCCACGGGCTTTCCTTCCCGGCTTCGGCTGGGACATGGAAGGCCCACGGGCTTTCCTTCCCAGCTTCGGCTGGGACATGGAAGGCCCACGGGCTTTCCTTCCCAGCTTCGGCTGGGACATGGAAGGCCCATGGGGGGCTTTCCTTCCCAGCTTCGGCTGGGACATGGAAGGCCCATGGGGGGCTTTCCTTCCCGGCTGCGGCTGGGACATGGAAGGCCCACGGGCTTTCCTTCCCAGCTGCGGCTGGGACATGGAAGGCCCATGGGGGGCTTTCCTTCCCAGCTTCGGCTGGGACATGGAAGGCCCACGGGCTTTCCTTCCCAGCTGCGGCTGGGACATGGAAAGTCCTCGGGCTTTCCTTCCCAGCTTCAGCTGGGACATGGAAGGCCCATGGGGGGCTTTCCTTCCCGGCTGCGGCTGGGACATGGAAGGTCCATGGGGGGCTTTCCTTCCCGGCTTCGGCTGGGACATGGAAGGCCCACGGGCTTTCCTTCCCAGCTGCGGCTGGGACATGGAAAGTCCTCGGGCTTTCCTTCCCAGCTTCGGCTGGGACATGCAAAGCCCGAGTTACCGTGCCTTGAGGACCAGCCCCTTGGGGAGACCGGAACCTCGGCTTCTGCTCTTGAGGAATTGACCTTCTGTAGAGGTGGTGGTAGCAAAAAGATAGGATTTGCTTCACGATCTCGGCGGTCACAATTAAAGGCCTCGGCAGGTCATACATCTGAGACTTCTCAAGTAGTCGCAAGTCAGCCTTCTTCTTCGGCTGATTCAGGCCGCAAACGCCAGAAAAGCCGGAAACCGTCCGGTTTTGGCTCACGATCTCGACGATCACAATTGAAAAAGGGTGTAGAACCCAGGAGAGAGGACTTCGACGAGGTTGAAAGTCTTTCTCAAAGTATGGATTCCTTCCTGTTTGAGGACTCGATTGAAACGAATCCTTCTTTGAAACAGAACGTGGATATTGCATATGAGCCATTTAAACACTTCAATGGGCATTTTTCGGAGGCAGCGATCTTTGATGCCATGCCGTATGTCATTTTAAGTGAAATTCTTCCCGAAGATTTCATGACTGCCCATTACAACACAGCCTTTACTGGAGATGTCAACTCCAGTTTAGTGTTTATTCGCATGTGGCTCGAAGATGTACAGGCGAATCCTAGAGAATGGCTTCACGTCGTTGGATTAGTTTTTGGTATGGTCGAGTATCTTCCATACTTTGAAAGAAACTTTGGATTTGTTTCTGCAAGAGAGGCCGAGTTTCTTCCTGCCTTTGATCCGAGAAACGTGATCTTTAATCCGCGTGAAGGTCTTCCGGCTACGGTCATTGTTCCGTTATACAGCGGAAATCACTTTGCCGTTGCAGTAATGGAAGTAAGGTCCCTGGCAAATGTCGAAGTCTTTATCATCGACACATACAGGCCTGTTCCCGTTTTCCATGCCAGAAGGAGCGACCTTCGGCAATATTTCAAAAACATTTTTGAAGCAATGTTTGGTGCTCAGTGCCCAAACTTAAAGGTCGAAAGCATTGACGATCACTTTGATCCTCAAAATGATTCCTGGAATTGTGGATTTCATTCTATCCACAACCTGTACATGTATCTGCTCTTCACGCAGAATAACGAGCCGTTCAGGAAACTCGGCCTCACTGGAGTTGAAATTCGAAAACTGGGTTTGGACCAGTTCGAAAGACAATTCCTGTTGTACGGTGGTGGTAAGGCAGCAAAAGCCAACCTGCGTTCGAAAGTCCCAGTGGTCCGACCTAACAATCGGCCAACTATCGAGCAAGTCCGCCAATTGTTAGGCGAGGTTATTCCACAGGAAGACCGTCGTCCAGTCGAGGAGATCAGGCGAGAAATTCCCAGAACTCCTCAAAGACGCCGAGGAGTAGATGCTGTTCCAAGCACTCCGACAAAAAAGACAAAGTCGGTTCAAAATATGGTGGAAAAGTCATCTGTGACTGAGCCAGAACCTGTATTTGCGGTTCCAGAATTGACTCCAAGAAAAAGGAGATCAGTTACTAAGCGGCAGATGGATGAGGAAAACTCAAGTCAGGTTGAGGCCTCTCCAAAGAAACCCAGGGCTTCACCGAGAAATACATCCGCTGAGGACAAACTTATGAAACGGTTTGACTGCGTTAACATTTCTCTGATGATAGCGAAAGAAGAGAAAGCTCTGGAGATTCCTGAAGTCTCGGAGGGGTACAAACTATATGCTGAGGCAAAGTATCCAAGACAACATTATCGCTACATGGTCCAGTTGTTTAAAGACGCTAACCGTGTAAGCACCAACACAAAGACATTTGAAGAGAGACTCCTCGGAGACTCTGAAATATCTTATGTTGAGAAAAATGACGACGAGTTTGATCCTCGGCTCCTCACATTTCCCCTGGCTCAACTCATAAGCCAGTCCGCAGCACCTGTGGGACTCATCTCTCCAACGTGGTCGCTGGATACCTCTGCTGATCCTGCCGATTATTGTTTGATTAACATCGGAGCTAATGAATGTGGTGAAGATCATTCTGATCCTGCACTTTTCATTCCTCTGATAAGACCAACCGCCTCTCGGAAAACGCGAACCACTTTGACATCCCGTCATTTCGTGCTGGCAATAATGTTTAAATCCCGGCGATCGGCGAATGTCACGCTTATTGACCCCGCTCGAACCGGGATCAATGCCCGCGATTTTGAGCACATGTTTCAAACAGTTTATGAGAACGTTTTCTGTCCTCAAACTGGCGCAAATCCACGAGCCCAAATTTTTGTTACGTCGAATTCATGTCAGTACTACTGGACGGATGACGGTAACTTTACTGCAAATTACGCAGTTTCCAATGCAGAGCTCTACTTGCGCTCAAATGGAATGCCACCAAACCAGGTGCAACGTTGGCCATATGGCCGAGCAGCAAATTATTCCATTCGAATTTTGAATTCAATCTTTTGCAGCTCTGCGCGTGATAATGTTTATCATCAGCTCTGTCTAGACTTTGAAAATGAAAGTAAAGCCGACAGTCCGCTGTCACCTCCAAGAGTGGCAGTTGCGAGAACGCAGCCTGCACCAAGGCCTCCAACTCCTCCTCCATTCACTCCAAGAACCCAGGCAAAGGGCATAGTGCGGAGGAGTCAAAAAGGCTATGTTCAAAAGGAGGAACTAAAACGGTCAAAGTCTTCCAAGAAAGGGCGGACCACCATGCATTGTCAGGCCTCTCATAGCAGCGGCTATTATTATCGGCACCCATATCACGTGGGTCTTTTCTATGATTGCCCGCATTGTCAGGCATGGTTGCTTTCTGGAGAAACTTCTTCAGAATGCTGCAAGCACGGCCAGGTGGTCATGCCAGACCTTCGAGACATGCCTGAGTTTCAACAAAACTTGGTTCTCGGAGCAGGGAGTTTCCCCCTGAAACCTCTTCCCAAAGAGTACTATCTCTGTTATCGAGATGAGAGCCCCAGATTAAACCAAATGTACGCATTTGGGGCACAAACTGTACACCAGTCCGATCCACCTGGACGCGGAGCGCCAGTGGTTAACATTAACGGACAAACGGCGTATCACGTCTCTAATCCGGAAGGATTCTCGAACACGCTTCTTCTTGGGCAGTTGCTCAGATTTGCGCCGGATTTGACAGACGACGACGTTTGTGATCAACTAAAAAAGACTAAAATGTATACAAACATGTCGCATAAAGCTGCGTTTGACGCGTTAACAGCGTTCTTCTATAATTACATTCGCCAGTACAACGACTTGGCGCAAATGTATTATACAATTATTGAACGGCAGCAACTCCTTGGTTTGGAAGGCAAACCAAGTGAGAATTACTTGCTCAAAATTGTTGATGCAAAAGATCTGAGTCCTGAATTAAGGCAAAGGTTGCTTCCTAAGGACCTTCACGAAAGGCAGATCAATAAACCCGAAGTTGCGGAACATGCCGTTGTTTATCTGAACGATGAGAACGGCAATGTTAAGCTTCCGCCGGGTATGGTCGTGTTCAGTCGAGGTCACCAATCGGCGAAGTACAAGGCGTATATGCCTGAACTTGACGCCTTTCTTTACCCTCTTCTGTTTATACATGGCGAGCCATACTTCCACCGACATCTTCCATTGCGAGATGTCGGTGAAGATGACATACTCCCAGAGCCTCGGCCTGGAGATGACGATGAGTTCTTGCCTTTTGAGGTGAATGTCGCGTTGAACCCGCTTCCAGCCGGGTTGAAACAAAACGAGGACGACATTAACATAGAAGAATTGGAAGAAGCGGCCGACGAGGACGATCTTCTTCCCAAGAAAACAAAGCCAAAGGCAAAGAAGTGCTCTTTGCGAATGCAAGTCAAGTATAGGCTTCAGCGTAGACCTCGAGATCGGGGAGTTCATCGAATTTATAACCACTATAAACTCGGTGGCCGCTGGATTTGTCAAAAAGCCTTGGGAATCGAAGAACAGGTCTTTGATTACTACGAGAAAAACGTTGTACCCAAGCGACGCGTCGACGCTAAATATGTCCGCGAAAACTTTTCGGAACTTCTCAAGCAGAAGTCCAAAGGCTACCAACTTGGTAAGCTGACTAGGATGCCTCCAGGTCATCGATACAGTCGTCGCTACTATCAGCGACAGTATTCGAACTGTATAGCCATGGCTCAGACATTGAGTTCGCCCAGTTTCTTCATAACATTGACTGCGAACTCTGAATGGCCTGATTTCCTTCAGCTTTGCGGAAATAAAGGAGTTGATCCGAAGAATGCATATGACATTCTAAACCGAGTCTTTCGACAAAAGGTTGTCGAACTCATGAGACGTATTGCGCCTCCGCAGAAAGGACAGCAAGGGTGGTTTGGGCAATGCCTAGGCTACTACATGTCTTTGGAGTTCCAGAAACGAGGAAATCCTCATGTTCACTTGCTCCTCTGGACTGAGCACAAAGAAATGTCGGCCCACGTTGTCGACGAATTTATCTCGGCCAGATTCCCAGATCCGGTCGCGGATGCTGAGGTTCATGACAAGGTTCTTCGGTACATGATCCATGACTGTAAAGAAACCGATCTGTGCCGGGACAAAAACGGAAAGTGCACCCGGCGCTATCCTCAGGAAATTGTTCCGGAAACCAGAATTGGCCCTGGATATGTGGCCTATCAAAGGTTGGAACGTGGAAAGGACGTCACAGCCCCAGTCCATTCCGGAAGTAAAATAGTGGACGGCGTTCAGCGCGTCTACACCGATCGTCATGTTGTACCATACAACAAGACTTTACTCACATGGTGGGACGGTCATTCAAATGTTGAGGCCGTGTGCACCAACGGAACCCCCGCATACGTTTTAAAGTATATCTTAAAGGGGAATGATCACGCCATCGTTCAAGTCATTTCTGAATTTGAAGCTCTCGAAGCTCAGAAACAGAAAGAAAGAGAACTTGAAAAAGAAAGGCAAGGGAAACTCGGCGAGGATCATCCGTTCGATGAGAACGAGATTGACCCCGAGAAAAAGAATCCGAATGAAAAGATCTACGGAATCGAGATTAACCCAAAGACAAAGAAAGTCGACATCCATGAGCCCGAATACTATATGGGAGCGAATTATATCACGCCCCAAGAAGCTCACCTTCGCATTTTCAGCTTCGGGCCTGTCTTCGTCTCCCATATTGTGGAGCAAATTGGCATTCACATGCCCGGAGACAGCCATGTTTACGCGGCTGACGGAGAGCCTATCGAAAACATAGCGCAAAAAGTCAGCAACCTGAATCCAAACGTGTATTCAAGGTTGACCGCATACTTTCAGTACTGCGCAGAAAACGCTGAAGAAACAGCTGATCTGACGTACGTTGAATTGAACAAAAACTATGCCTACGACTACAAGACAAAAACGTACAGAAAGTACAAAAAACAAATGAAAAAGATCGTGCAATTGCGCGAAGTCTCGGTGAAGAACAAGGAGTTATTGGCCTTAAGATCAATAATTCTGACCGTTCCTTGCCTCAAGAGCTTCGAAGAGTGCCGAACGCACGAAGAACAGATCTTCTCCACGTTCTTGGAAGCTGCACAAGCTAGAGGACTCTTCCATTCAGATGTCCTTTGGCGACATGCTCTTGATCAAGCCCGGGGCCGTACGTGTAAACACTTTGTGTTTTTGTTCGCCCAAGTACTTATTGAGGCAGGCGAACTCATTGAAGACCAGCTTCAACTGTGGAACGATTACAAGATCCACATGTTGATGCCTCCGTTCCACAGACCCAATATGCCGGATGATGAAATCAGGCAAAGGCAGGAGCGTAGAGCTTTAGAACTTCTCAGTTATTACCTCTCCAACATGGGTGGGAAGTACGAGTCGTTCAATTTACCACCACTAACTGGAACTTACGATCCAGACGTTCATGGTGAGAACGAGGACTTATTTATCGGTGAGTTCGACAGCACTGATCGTCCTGCTGAGCCTAAAAAGCCTAAGGTCAGCTTTGGAGATGATCAGCAATACGCTTTCGACATGATAACGAAAGCATTGGAATTGGCGCCTCAGAACAAAGCCATTCCACACCGTCAGTTCTTCTTACACGGAGCAGGCGGAACAGGGAAAACAACCCTTTACAATGAGCTCATTGACTATTGTCAAGAGCAGGGCATCAAGCACGCAGCAACTGCCACAACTGGCGTTGCTGCGAACTTAATTAAGACCGGGCAGACCCTTCACAACCTGATATGGGCCCCGATTAATCTTGACTCGGATACTCTTCCGACACTGAAGTACGAAGATCAAAAAGCCCAACGTCTTCGTGAACTTGGCTTATTGATCATCGACGAATCAAGCCAGCTTAACGTCGATCTTTATAACTATTTGCAACGGCTCTTACGTCACGTTCGAAAAGCGGGCGACATTGACCGTCAATTAGTTATTGTGTATGGCGGCGATTATCAGCAGATATTGCCTGTCTGCCCTGATCTATCGATTGGCCAAGAGTGGACAAAGTCCTTAATTTCAAAGGCTTCTGAGATGCAGTACATCGTGCTGAAACAAAATCACAGAACAAGAGCCGATGAACGGAGCTACAGACAGTTTCTCAGTGAGATTGGCTCCGGGACTAACTTCAGTTCAACATTGTCCTTGATATCTCTGAGGCATAAGCTTCATCCAGAGATACACAACCACACAAGTCCTCAAGACATGATCGAGGCTGTGTTCCCTCAGAGTCACCTCCAGTTGGGCCTCGAAGATAGACCGACAGCAATGGCTATCTTAGCTCCGAGGGTTCAGACTGTAATGAACCTGAACACAGAAATTCTTGACCGTTTCCCCGGTAAAGAACACGTATACGTCTCGGTAAATACCCCGAATCCCGAGGATGTCAGTAACTTTGACCATACTGTCATCGAAGCAATGCAAGAACAGATTTGCAAAGTAAACGACGGCAATATGCCTCCCGGAGAACTCAAACTCAAAGTGGGAGTTGATGTCGTTTTGCGCAAGAACTTATCCGTTCGAACAGGCTTTTCGAACGGAACAAGAATGCGCGTAGTTGCCTTGAACAACGACCTCATTGAGTGTCAAAAGATTGATTCGAACGGCAATCTTGGGCAAACCGCCCTGATCGCTCGGAGTCGGTTCGACTACCGTCCTCCAAAGCAATCTAAAGCTGGAATCCGCTTTACGCGGTATCAGTTCCCGTTGCAGTTGGCCTTTGCGATGTCGATAAATCGTGCGCAAGGTCAAACTTTGAACGTCGTCGGTTTGTACTTGGACGATCCAGTCTTCAGTCACGGCCAGACGTATGTGGCGCTTAGTCGCACAAGAAGAGCTGCAGATATCCACATATACTCACACGTCGAGACAGACGAGATTGATAATGTGGTATACGGGCGCGTTACAGAGTTCCTACGCGATCTAGATAAAATTTACGACAATCAAAAGTCGAAATACCCTCAGAAACCTGCTGGGAAATAAGCAGTAGCAGAAAAAAGTCGAAACAAGAGACGTATTAAGGTTTTGTTATTTTTCCCAAGAAAAATAACACCACTTCCCCGAAGACCGGCCGCCTTGACGTGGCGGGGAGGCTTCTCACCAAGAGCCGGTCAATGACTACAAAGTAAACTTATGGAAGGTAGCGCTGGCGCGCGGCCTTTACCTGACCATAACTGTCGGGCTTGAGTAAGTATAACGCGCGCCAGCGCGTTGTTGGCCACGCGAAGCGTGGCCTGGACGATCAACTGTAGTGCACGCGATCAAGTCAACTTCACGTTGGGCAACCTTTGCGCGCACAGCGACGTCAAGGCCCCGCGGAGCGGGGGCTTGTCAAACCCTACCCAAGTTGCTAAAATGAAAAATACTCAACGTGCACTTTTTTTCGAGAATTTTTTTTTTGTCAACTGGTGCAGGGATTCGATGACTTTTGGCATCAGCACTTAGTTGGAATTTTCATCTTGGCGGGAATTGCCAGCGTTTGAAAATGGGATTTTTTGATTTTGGATCGGCTGTAACTTTTCACATTTTTTGAGTCGCCCTTAGCTTTTCTACATTTTTTCTCACCGACTGGGGCCAAAAGCGCGCGAATTTTCGAATTTTTCACATATATGCCCTGAGGGTACCTGATGTCAGCGTTATTGTGTGGGACGAAACTGAGTTCCATCGTTATCTACGCGAAATTCTAAGCCTTCTGAGCTAAACTCCGTGAGTGTGGGATCGACCGGTCGAAAGTTATTCGCGATTTTCGTGATTTTTCGGTATTTTTCAATTTTCACTATGAAGATGACGGAATTTCTGGATTTTGATGACAGCATCTGAATCAGCGTCCCAAACTTGCCCTAGAACCACCTTTCGCTTCTCTCTGTCGCATTTCGTATTTTAGAAATTCGGGATTTTTTAAAATTTTCCGAAAGTGGCCGAAATTTTCCGGAATTTTTCCCGGACGAACTAGGTCGAAATTCAAAAATCGGGCTCCGTCTTGCCCTCAGGAATAGCTTTCTCTTGCTTCGGAATTTTTTTCAGCTTCTGGCATCGTCGCCGAAGTCCAGCGTTTCTCGCCGAGTGTCGAAACCCAAAATTTTCGGGATTTTCTGCACAAAATCGGCCCTGAGGGCACGAAAAGCAAATTCAGCGAATTTTCGAGATAAGCCCCGTAATCAGCACGTCAAACTGCCCTAGAAGCAACTTTCATTTCCCAACATACGACCATCTTACCCCGCCCGCCTAGCGACAAAGACAAGAAATTGAAATTTTCTGGATCCGCCCTTCCAGAACTCGGCTGCCAGTGGAGCTATCGACACGATTTTGGTCCCAATCGACGCAGAATCAAATTCTGGATGCAGTCCGTGTGCGCAACTCCAAATTTTCCTAAAATACGACTTGGCGAGGCCGAAGGCCGAGCCAAAGGGGCTTTTTTTGGAAGCTTCGGCGGCCGGAGGCCGCCGTTGGTCACGGAACCTTTTGAATGTTGTAGCTGACTGCTGGAGTAAACTGTGCCGAGGCCAAAGGCCAAGCTAAAGTTCAAAGAAACTCCAAAATTTCCTAAAATACGACATGGCGAGGCCGAAGGCCGAGCCAAAGTTACTTTTTTTGGAAGCTTCGGCGGCCGGAGGCCGCCGTTGGTCACGGAACCTTCTGAATGACTGCTGGAGTAAACTGTGCCGAGGCCGAAGACCAAGTTAAAGTTCAAAGAACAGTTTAGCTGATGAAAGGTAGCGCTGCCGCGCGGCCCTTGGCTAACGGAACTGCCGGGCTTGAGGCAGTACAACGCGCGCCAGCGCGTTTTCAGGCCACGCGAAGCGTGGCCTGCACGGTCAACTATAGGGCACGCGATCATCAACCTTTGTGCGATCAAGTCAACTTCATGTTGGACAACCTTCGCGCGCACAGCGGCGTCAAGGCCCGCGTCAGCGGGGCTTGTACAAAAATAAAAAAAAAAAAATAAAAAAATAAATAAATTTGCATAAAGTCAATCAATTTTTTGGCTTTTTGGTAAATAAATCTGCAGCATTAAATATCCAAAATCTTGAAATTCAAAATCAAAAAAGGATAAATAAATTTGTGCCTATTCTTTGAAAAATGAAGCAAAAAATATTCAGAGTTCCTAAAAGCAAGTAAAAAATTGGTGAGTCCAAATACAAGTCCTTCCGGAAAGTCGCCGGATTGACTTTTCGCGTTTGCACTGTGCGAAAAAAGTACAATAAAAAACAAAAAATCTGATGAGATTGAAAAAAAATAAGATGGCATTAAATTTTTTTTTAGATGCAATAAATTTGCTGATACATATTTTATTAAAAAAATATAATTTTTCTTCAAAAACAAAAACAAAATTAAATATGCACACGACATTTTTTTTTTTTGATATTTACCCCAGTAAAATTCAAATCCCACTTCAAAGTAAACACCCCAAAATGCTGTCTTCTCCTCTGTCGACCACCACATACGTATCCAAACGTAGATGGTGGTCGCAAATTTTAATTTTAAATTAACCTTTTTTTCTCCTCCCCGAAACCTCCGTTTCGCGCTAAAATACGCGCACTTCCCACGCCTCAAGCTGAAACGTGAAAACAGTAAAAAATTTCGTAAATTGGCCGACGAACATGCGCGTTTCCGGCAGGCATGAGAAACAAGCTAATGAGGGCAATTTGTGAACGTCAAAGGGAATTAACTGTGAAACATTGGGGAGAGGGGTGGGTGAGGATGAAGAAGATGCCCGAAAAATTAAAATTAAGGGAAAATATTCGGTCAGGGTGTGGGAAAACTTGCAAAAAAAAAGTGTGATAAACAATTTGGATGTGTTACGAAAAAAAAATTTTTAATTTTTGAAAAAAAAAATTTTTTGAAATTTTGAAAAAAAAAGATTTTTCAATTTTTGAAATTTTTTTTTAATTTTTGGAAATTTTTTTTAATTTTTGACAAAAAAGATTTTTTTATTTTTGAAAAAAAATTTTTAATTTTTGAAAAAAAAATTTTAATTTTTGAAAAAAAATTTTTAATTTTTAAAAAAAAATTTTAATTTTTGAAAAAAAAAATTTTTATTTTTGAAAAAAAAGATTTTTTAATTTTTGAAAAAAAAAATTTTTTAATTTTTGAAAAAAAAATTATTTTCGAAATAAAAAATTTTTTTATTTAATTTTTATTTTTTTTTTTTGAAATTTCGCAAAAACGCTTTCTTTTTAATCCAAAGCCTAACCTCTTCAGTAAATTTTAGCTTTTACCTTGCAGGTACAGCCGAGATATTCAACGATCTTTGCGGCCGAGAGAGTATGTATGTAAAATGCGGAGAGCGGTCAGAAAAAGGGCGCTTTTGGCTATATCTTTGCCAGTTTTGTGCGAAAAAATCATTTTTTTGTGGAAATATAGCCTTTGGAAATGTCAGATTTTTTTGTGCAGATATTGCGTTACGGTAAAAATGGGTATACAACTTTTAATCCTAAAATTCGAAAAAAAATTGTTAACAACTTGTAAGAAATAATCGACATTTTGAATACCGCAAAAAAGTCGATTTTTTAAAATTTTTCAAATTTTTTTTCAAAAAATTTTTTGAAAAAATTTTTCAAAAATTGGATTGCAAAACACTGAGTGAAAAACATTTCATTTGCCTGGAATAGCATCTCCCTAATTCCAATCTTAAATAAGATTTGTTTTGTCGTAAAATTTCGAACTCTTTTAGAGTCCAAAAAAAACTTTAGGATGTCCATTTCGCTCCGGAAAAGTGGATAGAAGAATTTTGTTTTTGAACTCTTCCCCCATTTTCGTTTATCCTAATTGCATTTTGGTGGCAAATTTCGCAGATCCCCGGCGCACACCGAAGTGGATCGTAATTGCTTTTTGGGATTGAACGCAAATTTGGAGGGGAATTCAAAGAAAAAAATCTAAATGTAAATTAAAAAGCAGAAAAAAATTTAAGGCCAAATAAAAAAAATATTTGCTAAAAAAACAAAATTTAAATTTGAGTGAAAATCCGGACAAAAAAATAAAAAAAATAAAATTAAAAAAATAAAAAAAAAATAAAAAATAAAAAATAATAAAAAATTAAAAAAAAATAAAAAATTTAAAAAAATAAAAAAACAAAAAAATCTTAGAAAAATAAAAAAAAATCAATGAATTAAAAAAATTTAAAATCAGAGTGAAAACACAATGTAAAAAAATAAAGAAAATAAAAAAATTAGAAAAATTAAAAAAATTAATGAATTTAAAAAAATATAAAAATTTGAGGGAACCACAGCTAGAAAAAATAAAAAAAATAGAAATAAAATAGAATAAAAAAATAAAGAAAATAAAAAATTTAGAAAAATAAAAAAAATAATGAATTTAAAAAAATTTGAAAATTTGTGTGGAACCACAGATAAAAAAAATCAAAAAGAAAAAAGAAATTAAAAAAAAAGTGTTTGGAATTTTCGGCAATTCTGTGCATGAAACCTTTAAAAATTCTCGTCACTTTTTGTCAAAAAAAAAATTTTCTTTAACTTTTTTATTCCCTAAAACTCCAAAAATTTTAATCTGAAAGCCCTCCAGACATGTGTTTTTTGTCTCTCAAAACTTGGGTCCAAGACCTTGGACTCCACCTTTTCGGATTCAAAGATTTTGAAGTCACGTTAATTCGGCAGAATTCCATGGACCCTACCATAAACAGAAACTTAATGACATCAACTTCATTTTTACGGTTCCAGCCGAGAGTACATAGCGTTTTTTTGTGATAACTGGTCAGCCAATGGACCAGTTTTTGGGAAAAGCATACCAAATCGATTCTTGGGGCTCTGATTTTTAGCCCTATATGATTTTAAATTTTTGAGCCCTAAGGGGTTTTAAGAAATTGCGGATTTTCAATAAAGACAGCAGTTGCTTTAGACAGCGCATTTAAAAAAAAATTTCAGATTTTTTGCGGACTCTAAATCACTCTGTCGGGAAAATAATGTGGGTTTGTCGCGACTTGAAATCGCCCATTATCGCTTTGCAACGGCTACAAGTAAAACTTGATGTCCGACTGCAACGAGGCAAGACATCTTTTGTTTTATAAAATCCACATTATTTTCCCGACATACTGATAAGTAAGATTCGAATTTTCGAAAAGCCCTAAGGGCATTTCCAATTTTTCGAGTTGTTCCGGTAAAAATTGGAAACTCTATCTATCGGTTTGGTACATGAATTACAACAAACGGCCCAGAGACTGATGACTGATGAGTTATAACAAAAACAAGAAATGGCCCTCTCTTTGCCTTCTTTGGACTTTCAAAAATTAATTAACAGTATTTTCATAAAGTGCGTGGACTTTTAATTGCGAGACAAAATGCACGGTGCTGGCCATAAATTGCACGGTGCACTTTTAGTTTTTGCACCGTGCAAGTGAAAGTGTCGCCGAGCGCACGGTGCGAACCGCTTTTTCCCATTTGCACAGTGCGAAAAAAGGCGAATTGCACGGTGCGTTAGCGACAAACATGGAAGAAAAAAGCGAAATGCACAGTGCAAACGACAATTTGCACAGAGGTTTTGCACCGTGCATAAAAATATCGCCGAGTCGCACGGTGCAAATCGCTTTTTCTCATTTGCACTGTGCAGAAAAAAGCGAAATGCACGTTAGCGACCAATATGAGAGAAAAAAAAGCAAAATGCACAGTGCAAAAAATAAATTGCACGGTGCACTTTTAGGTTTTGCACCGTGCATGAAGATGTCTCCGTGTCGCACGGTGCGGACCGCTTTTTCCCATTTGCGCAGTGCAGAAAAAAGCGAAAGGCACGTTAGCGACAAACATGGGAAAAAAAGCAAATTGCAAAGTGCACTTTTAGATCCTGCACCGTGCATCAAAATATTGCAGAGGCGCACGGTGCAGACCGCTTTTTCAAGTTTGCACTGTGCGAAAAAAACCACAATGCACTGTGCGTTCATTATAAAAGGATTTTTTCGAAAAATGTCTACGCACTTTATGAAAACATTGGCATAACATCAGACTCAATAAGGTCGCTGTTAACTTAATATTCATGGAATTTTTTGGTCAACGAGCTTTGGTATTATGCCGGCGGGTAAACAAAAAGATGATACAGCAAAGTCACGTAAATAAATTGGGCCAAACAAGGTCAAATTTTTTAGAATTGAGAGCATGAGAAGCGTAGAGAGCTGTCATGAAAACTAATCTTTAATATTACTAGTCTGTACTTGGTCGCTGGAGTGATTTTTGACGTTTGCACTGTGTGGAAAAAGTCGGGGTGCGACAGTCCAAAAAAGCCTATTGCACGGTGCAAACAGCCAGAAATTGCACAGTTCAAAGTGAATTTTTGTTTTCGTACAGTGCACAAAACCCTCTTTGCGAGGTGCATTTGAGCTTTTGCACGGGCAACCGGATATCGCGGTTGAGCCTTTTCACCAAAAAATCCGAACTCTCCCCTTTTTTGAACACTCCCCCATTTTGAAAAATGAAAAAAAGAATTGTGACATGTTATACGATGAAATTTTTTTCAAATTGAAAAATTTGGTGCGACATGTTATACGATGAAATTTTTTTCAAATTGAAAAAATAAGCTGTGACATGTAATACGATGAGAAATTTGTAAAAAAAATTCTCAGCTGAGTCCGAAATTTTGATGTTTGGGCGTTGCACATTCGTGATGATACTTTTCATGAAAATAAATCGCAAAAAAATCTCGAATTTTGGCCAATTTTCAGTCTAAAAATCTCGGTTATTTTTGGAAAACCTAAGCTGGCGGTCCGACATGATGTCTCAGAAAAAATTAAACTTCATTTCTTCCAGGTTTTATTAAAATCTGAGCGTTGCACTTTGAGCACTGTGCCGGTCAAGTTTTTTTTCTCGGTTCATTAAACCTCAACATGCCTCTTCCACT